GGTCACCTGGCTGCCCCAGGTCAGGGGTCTTATCTGTGGTGTACTGGGATCCCTGCTTCTCAGTCCTCAGTTGAGGTGAAACCTACATGACATCGGGGGTGGGGGTGGGGGGTGGAGGACAAAGGAGACAGCACAGATGGAGGTGGGATGGAGGTGAGGTGGAGCTGGGCACATGGTCAGGGTGGGTGTGGACCAGCCCTGTTGTTCTTCTCTGCAGGATGATCTACCCCAAAGCCCAGCTCCTCAAGCCCACGTGAGTAGGGACTTCTGCGAGTGCTGGGTGGGTCCCTGTCCCCATCTACCTCACGCGTGCTCTCTCTCATGCTCTCCCTGCCTCCTGGGCTTCCCTTGGCCTTTTCCGTTTTCTTTCTCTCAGCTATAGGCATAAGTTTGTGAGTTAATTCAGTGGGCTTGGTCCAACTCAAGGGGATGCTGGAAGGTGCCAGAATCAGAGACAGGAGACCTGGCCTGAACCTGCTTCATCATTAGGAGCTGCGTGGCTGCCCACACCAGTGTCAGACATTCCTCTCATTTCCTCCTGGGGCAGGACGGCAGGACTCAGGGGTCTGGGCTGGATTCCCCCCGAGGTCTGTCCACCGTGTGAGTGTCTGCAAGATGACAGTTCCAAACCCCTCTCTGCACAGATGACTGTCTCCATGTCCAGGCTTCTTTACCCACTGCCAACATCTGGGCCCTGGCCCACACCTCCTGCTTCCACTGCCCCAGAGAGGGTACAGCAGCCCGTTGCCATGGTACCCAGAAAACCATGTGAAGCAGAGCTCAGAGGAGCCAAATTCTTTGTGCCTAGGGTTCCCCTTAGCCTCACTGTACCCCAGAGCTGCAGTGTGTGAAGGGTGTTTAGTGACCACCGATCAGTCCTCATTTTACACGTGGGGAAACTGAGGCTCAGAGATGTGAAGGAACCTACCTAAGTTCCTACAGCTAGTGAGGGCCGGTCGGGAGGCAAACCCAGACCTGCCTGACAGACCGTGGGATCCAGCACAAGGCTGGTGTTCAGGGATGCGCCATGGTACGGCACCAAGTTTCTCAGCCAGAGCCAGAGAAGCGGGAGGGGCAAGATGAGTCATGGGTTCTGTGGGGTCTCAGCCTCTGAGCTGGTAGTGGAGAGAGCACTGAATTGGGAGTCTGGAGACCCGTGTCTACTCTAAGCCGACTACTGACCGCTGAGTCCCTTTGTACAAACCTTTCTCCCTGTGGCCGCCTTTCCCCCTGTCTGCTCTAGTGTGCTCTTTTTGTCCACACAGGAGGACGGACGTGCTGGTCACCACTCCCTGGCTTGCCCCCATCATCTGGGACGGGACCTTTGACTCTGCCATCCTGGACATGCAGTTCAGAAACACCACCATCGGGCTGACTGTGTTTGCCATCAAAAAGTAAGTCCGCATAAAGCAGGAGAGGAAAAGGGTCAGCCAGGAAGGACCCTTGGAGTGGGCGGGAGGTTCCTTCGTGCCGCCCTTATCCAGCCCAGGAGCTGGCTCACCACAGAGGGAGGAGGCAGAGCGGCTCTGCAGTAGGTGGACTTGCTGGGATCTCCAGGGTCCCAGATAGGCCCTTGCTCAAACAGCAGACCCTCTACCCGAAGTCACCAGGCAGCTTTCTCTGCAGGGAGGTGAGGCCAACAATGCTTAGGTGTCCTAGTCCGTGTGCTGGGAGCTTCATCTAAGCACAGCCAAGAAGTGGTGTTCCGTACCCAATCCTAACTGGGAGGCAAACTGAGGCTTAGCCAGACACTAAAACCAAACCAGTTGTCCTCCCATCAGTTCCGACTCATGGTGACCCCACGTGTGTCAGAGTAGAACTATGCTCCATAGGGTTCTCAATGGCTGATGTTTTGGAAGTAGATCACCAGGCCTTTAAAAGGCCTGAAGATCTACTTTCAAAAAAATGTGCCTCTGGATGGACTTGAATCTCCAACCATTCAGTTAGCAGCCAAGTGTGTTAACAATTGCACCACCCAGGGACTCTGACCACAGCACACTTTCCCCTGAATATGTCCATGTGCAACTCATCAACTAGAATTCAGTGTGTGTTTACAGTGTTCCTTCTCTGAAAGTTAAATGTACAATGAAGAGCAATATTTTAGTTCTATGTTTGCTGAGTTTTCACAAATGCTTACACCTGTATAACAGAAATCGTTATCAACTCATAGGAAATCACCATCACCCCCAGAAAGATCCCTTTATCCCTTCCCAGTAGGTCCCTGCCCCTACTTCCTCAACGTCAACTAGTGTTCTGATTTTTCTCCACCATGAGATGGTTTTTACCTACTGGGATCATGAAGCCTGTACTCTTCTGTGGTAGCCTTCTCTCGCTTAGCATTATTATTTTGAGATTGGTCACGATTTTGCATGGATCAGTAGCACTTTCTTTTTTTCTGCTGAGTAGTATCCCGTGGGGTGGTATACTGCAGCTTGCTTATCCATTCCCATTTTGATGAACACCTGGGGTTTTTCCAGGTTTGGCTATTGTGAGTAAAGCCTCTGTCATGGATTGAATTATGTCTCCCCAAAATATCTGTCAACTTGGCTGGGTCATGATTCCCAGTATTGTATGATTGTGTACCATTTTGTAAACTGATGTGATTTCCTCACGTGTTGTAAACTCTTATCACTATGATGTAATAAGACGGATTAGTGGCAGTTATACTGATGAGGTCTACAAGACTGGGTAAGCCAATCTCTTTTGAGATATAAAAGAGAGAAGTGAGCAGAGACACATGGGAACTTGATACCACCAAGAAAGCAGTGTTGGGAGCAGATCGTGTCCTTTGGACCTGAGGTTCCTGTGCAGAGAAGCTCCCAGACCAAAGGAAGATTGAGGACAAGGAACTTCCTCCGGAGCTGACAGAGAAAGCGTTCCCTTGGAGCTGACGCCCTGAATTTGGACTTGTAGCCTACTGGACTGTGAGAGAATAAACTTCTCTTTGTTAAAGTCATCCACTTGTGGGGTTTCTGTTATAGCAGCACTAGATGACTAAAACAGAATTTGTAACCAAGAAAGTTGGGTGCTGCTCTAACAGCTACCTAAAATGTAGAAGGGGGTCTGAAGCTGTGAATGGATAGAGGAGTGGCAGCGGCAGAGGACCAGCAGTAGCAGAGAACCTTCAGCAGCAGATATACGGCAGCAGCAGAGAATCGGCAGTGGCAGAACCAAGAAGACCAGTGCCAGACAGCGCTGGACCCAACCCCCGGAGGGAGAGAGCTGAGTGCCTTTGTGCAGGAGGCTTCCTGGCAGAGTGGGGTGCCTCCAAGCACTTACCGGTGGAGCTAGGCTTGCTGACCCACAGATCGAGAGAGTTATAGTACCTGTGCGCAGAAGGATTTCTGGTGGAGTTAGATGCCTCCGGGCACTTACAGGTGGAGCTATGGAGCTTTTTGAACACTTGCCCCAGCAAGGCAGACGCGGGCTTGAGGCCTGAGAGCCAAGAGGCGAAGAAACCAGAAAGCAGAAGCTGAAGAGACAAGGAACACAGGAAGCTGAGCTGCCTCAGTCTCAAAAGGTATGGACAGGACCTCTGGATTTCAAAGGGTGGAGCCATGGCCTCTGGTGTTTCAAAGGGTGGAGCTGTCACTCTGATTGACTAGGAGAATGGTGTGCCTAAAGCCAAGGGAGCAGAGTTGCCGTCCTAGTGTGCCTGGAAGGTGGAGCTGAAGCCCAGGGCTGAGGGACCTCCACTCAGAATCCGGAGGCTGTAGCCAATACCTAGAGTCTGGAGGGCAGGGCTACTGTGTGAACAGTCTCAGAGAACAGAGGATTATTTTCAAGCCTTGAGGGCTAATGTAATGTGTTCTGCTGACTTGCTTGGTGCTTGTTATCCCTTCTTTTCCTGCAGTTTCTCCCATTTGTAATGGAAATGTCTAGCTTGTGTCTGATCTGCCATTGTACCTTTGGAAGCAGATAACTTGTGTTCTAGATTTCACAGATGAAGAGGAATTTTTGGATTTGGGGCTTGGAGTTGATTTAAGACTTTTGCTAGGATATGATGGGGTGAATATGTCCTACACATGGCAAGGACATGAATTTTGGGGGGCCAAAAGGTGGAGTGTCATGGATTGAATTGTGTCCCCCCAAAATATCTGTCTACTTGGCTGGGTCATGATTCCCTGTATTGTATGATTGTGTACCATTTTGTAATCTGATGTGATTCCCTTATGCGTTGTAAACTCCATCACTATGACATAATAAGATGGATTAGCGGCAGTTATATTGATGAGGTCTACAAGACTAGGTAGTGTTGTAAGCCAATCTCTTTTGAGATATAAAAGAGAGAAGCAAGCAGAGACACATGGGAACCTCATACCACCAAGAAAGCAGTGCTGGGAGCAGAGCGTGTCCTTTGGACTGAGGTTCCTGCATAGACAAGCTCCCAGACCAAGCGAAGATTGAGGACAAGGACCTTCCTCCAGAGCCAACAGAGAAAGCATTCCCTTGGAGCTGACGCCCTGAATTTGGACTTGTAGCCTACTGGACTGTGAGAGAATAAATTTCTCTTTGTTAAAGCCATCTACCTGTGGTATTTCTGTTATAGCAGCACTAGATGACTATGAATATTGTTGGACAAGTCTTTTGTGTGAGCATGTGATACATTTTTTCTTGGTTAAAGACTTAGGAGTGGAGTTGCTCAGTCAAAGATTACATGTATGTTAACTTTTATTTAAAAAAACAAATTGCCAGGCCTTTTCCAGGTTAATTGTAGCATTTTACATTCCCACCAACAATACCTGGGAATTGTAGTTGCTCACGTTCTTACCAACGTTTTGATGATGTGAGTTGCCTGTAAACTTGTATCCTTGGGTCTTTGTACACGTTTGTGGGGGGTGTATGCCTGGAAGTGGAGTTGGCGGAGGGATACGCACACTTAAGATCTAGATAGAGTTTCTCATAGTGGCCTCCAAAAGGATTAAACAATTGACATTCCCCACTTCCTCAACTGCACAGAATTTTTCACTTATTCACTTGTTCAAAACATATTTATTAAACAGCTATTACATGCCAGATGATGGGAGAAGGCAGTTAACGAAACAAGTAAAGCCACTGCTCTCGTGCCGCTATTGTCTAGCGCAAGAAGACAGAAGAACAAGTAAACACAAATATAAAATACATCAGAGGGTGATATGAGCTTTAAAAAAAAACGAAGGCTGAATAACGAGATAGAGTGTCTTGTGTTAGTATTTATTTAAGTATGTGTCTGTTTGCTCTTTCTATTTTTTATTGAGTTATAGTTTTCACTTAGGGAATTACACACATCTCACCACAAGAGCCTGCTGAATTGTTACATCTGCACGCTTCTGCGTGAGCACCTGCAGAGGGAGCTGTAGAGCACCTGCAGCCCAGGGCTTGAATCAGCAAGTCTTCTCTTGGTGAACTGATTGTGAGCAGAGAGATGAAAGATGTAGTGATGAGCATTGCAGGGCACGGCTTTCAGACAGAGGGAACAGGAAGTGCAAAGGGCCTGGAGCATGTGTAGTGTTTGTCCGGATCATCCAGGAGTTGGCTACCCAGAGCAGAGGGATGGAGGAGAAGGAGAAAGAGGTCAAAGCCCACCGTGTAGGACCTGGTAGACCATTGTAGGGCCTCAAATGGCTTTTTTTCTTTTCCTTTCTAAAGAGACACAAAGCTGTTGGAGGGTCTAGAGCTATGGAGTAACATTGGATATTGTCAACTTTTTGAACTTTTGCAAACCTTATGGCTAAATGAAATATCTTGTTACTGGGAATGTTTGTTCACCACCAAGCAAATTTGAATGTCCCTGCATATGCCCGGTACAGTTGGGCCACATGGTCTGTAGCGAGTAGAATAGCTACCATTTTATGAGCCAGTTTCATCTAAGTCTCCTTCTTCTGCTGCCGTTCAGTCTGTTTAACTCTCACCCTCTCTTTCCTGGTCTTAGATACGTGGTCTTCCTGAAGCTGTTCCTGGAGACTGCAGAGAAGTACTTCATGGTGGGACACAAGGTCATCTACTACATCTTCACTGACCGACCAGCTGACATTCCGCATGTCCCCCTCCAGGAAGGCCGGCAGGTGGTGGTCCTCAAGGTCCGCAACTATACCCGCTGGCAGGACGTGTGCCTGCACCGCATGGAGATGATCAGCAACTTCTCCGAACAGCGCTTCCTGCATGAGGTGGACTACCTGGTGTGTTTAGATGTGGACATGAAGTTCAGTGACCACGTGGGCGTGGAGATCCTCTCCTCCTTGTTCGGCACTCTCCACCCTGGCTTCTTTGCTGCCGATCGCCAGGCCTTCACGTATGAACGCCGCCCATTGTCTCAGGCCTACATTCCAAGAGATGAAGGTGATTTCTACTATATCGGCGCCTTTTTCGGGGGCTCAGTGCTAGAGGTGCACAGGCTCACCAAGGCCTGTCACCAGGCAATGATGGTGGACAAAGCGAATCACATTGAGGCCGTGTGGCATGACGAGAGCCACCTGAACAAGTACCTGCTGTACCACAAGCCCACCAAGGTGCTCTCCCCCGAGTACCTGTGGGATGAGAGGATGCTGCGTAGACCACCTTTCGTCAGAAAACTTAGATACGTGGCCGTGCCCAAGAACCACCAAGCCATCCGGAACTGATGAGACCACACTTTCTACATTAATTGTAAGGCTAGCAATAAATTTTAGTGGTGCTAGGATTTTGATAAGAGATTGGTCAAAGGTTTAGTAAAGTGAGTTCATTTTTTTCAATTTTCTTCTTTTGGAGTGGCTGCTACCACTCACCAAACAAAGTGATACAGAACAGTTGGAAGAACTCTACAGTGAACACCCATACGCCTATCACCCAGATTCTGTCATTAACGTTTTGCTATTTTTGCTTCATCACATATCTTACTCATCTCTCCATTCCTCCAGCCATCCATCAACCAACTAATTTTTTCTCTATTTGATAATAAGTTGCAGATATCAATACATTTTACCATTAAATACTTCAGCATACATAATACGAATTAGAGTTCAATATTTGTCTGAAGTTCTTTTGGGGGGTGAAATTTACAACGAGTGAATATTCACTACCCAGATCTGAAGTGTACCATTTGGTGAGTTTTGTCAAATGCATACTCTGTGTACCACAAACTCCACTGAAATATAAACTTCAACACTCCAGAAAGTTCCCTTTTGCCTCTTTCCAGTCAATCCTTCTTCCTGCCCCCTATAGACAACCACTGTTGGGATTTTTTTCCTACTGTTGATTAGCTTTGCCTTTTCTAGAACTTTGTATAAATAATATTGTCCTGGCATGGACTGGTAACATGAAACTTGCCTCCAAAATTAGAGGGCACCGAGAGACTGAAGAAAGACACAGGAAACTCCAGGTTGGCAGCAGAGGAGTTTATTAGGGAGGCTCACATGTGAATCAGACCCTGGGTGGCAGCAGGACCAAGCAGATCTCTGTACCCCACAGTGGGGTAGGGGGGTGGGGGGCGGGGCAGAGAGGTTTTATATTGGGGGTGAACAATAGTGTCTACATGCCAGGGATGTGTCTAAACTGACATAAGGCCACCCCAGTAAGAATTACATAAGAATGACTTGGCAAACGGGAGTGAACTAGTGGAAAGCATGATAGCAGCCATGTTCAGCCTCGAAAAACCTGTTTTCCCTTCAGCCCATCCCTCGAGGCCAACTCTTACAATCTGGCACTTTCCCCCTCTTCTGCAAGGTCCATGAGGACCTCAAGAAGAGGTGTTACACCAGGGAGGGACAGACAGCATTGCTGTAGTTGGAGGCAAAGACCACACTAGCAATATAGACAAACACAGCAGAAAAGACCTAGACCCAACAGCAAACCTCGCCAGCCAGAGGGAAAAGAGGCTAACCAGGCAGCCACAGCAGACCAGCCATCAGGTGCGTCCAAGGCTTCTGTCTGGTTCTTCATGTGGCCTAACAAATCAGTTGTGTTCTGGTGATAGTCTGGCATATAGGTACAACATTCAGTGTTTCCTATGGTGCATGTCCTGTTAAACGACCTGTAAAGTGTGTGCTCTGCTCACTATCAATCCTTCGGGGTATTCCATACGTAACACTCTAGTTTTGTAATTCTTTCATTGTAGCAGCCTGGTTCATTCATTTACATGGGAACGCCTGTGTCAAGACGGTAACTGTCCACACATATGACAGTGTATCTCGCTCTCTCACTGGGCTGCATGGGCCCTATATAAGCTATCTGCCAGTTCATCCATGGCTGTGTTAACTTATGTATCTTCCCAGGATGGTGGGGAGAAGCCTTGGGCGTTGGTGTGAGCACACAGGATAATTTTGTACAGCAACCTCCAAATCACTATACTTCATTGCTATGCCTGCCTCTTTAGCTATTTTTCAACCATCACAGGCACTACACTGTCCACTTTTCTGTTAAATCCAGTGGGCAGCTTCCTCCTTGGGATGCAACAACATTCCAGCTTGTGTTATAGCATCTGCTTCTTGGTTTCCCAGCGGAGAAAGAGGTGAATGGGCTGCTGCATGAAAGACAGGTTATCGTCCGAGGTTTGGGGGTAATCCCAGATGTCTTGCCTCAAGGCACTCCCCCCCCTGTAAAACTGGTGTGGGTGCAGCATCTCACCTCCTCTCTCTTCACAAGGAGGAAGAAGAATCAAGATCAATGCTCTAATGGGCATTCTGGCTGTACTTCTTTCAAGATAGATACGTTTGTTTTTCTAGCAGTCCATGGTATATTCAGTATTCTTCACCAACACCATAATTCAAAGTGATCAATTCTTCTTCAGTCTTCCTTATTCATTGTCAAGCTTTCACATGTATATGAACATTACTCAACCTGAATTGTAATCTGTTATTTCCCTAATACACCTCATAATCCTGAGTATTGTCTGTGAGTTCTATGTGGCCATTGCAATAAAGCATCAAACCCAGCAGAGAAGTAGAGAGTGCTGTGGGAGGGACAGTTGGTGTCAGATTTGGTAAAGATGGGGAGAGAAGAGGCATATCTGACCTCTGCCTCATAGGAATCAGGCTTGGGCTGTTGATACAGTCGCTGCAAGGATGGGCTCAAACGTAACAACAATTGTGAGGATGGCACAAGAACAGGCAGTGCTTCCTTCTGTTCTATATAGGGCCACTACGAGTTGGAACCAAATCCATGGCACCTAATAATAATAACAATGGGCAAAATGTTGAATGATGCAGGAAGCATCAGAAGAAGATGGGAAGGAAAACAGAGTCACTGTAGCAAAAAGAATTGGTCGATGTTCAACCATTTCAGGATTTGGCATATGGTCAAGAACCAACGGTATTGAAGGAAGAAGTCCAAGCTGCACTGAATGGAATGGCAAAAAATAAAGCTCCAGGAATTGACAGAATGCCAAATGAGATGTTACAACAAACGAACGCAGCTCTGGAGGTGCACACTTATCTATGTGAAGAAATTTGGAAGATAGCTTCCTGGCCAACTGACTGGAAGAGATCCGTATTTGTGCCCATTCCAAAGAAAGGTGATCCAACAGAATGTGGAAGTATTTGAACGATATCATGCATATCACACACAAGTAAAATTTCGTTAACGATAATTCAAAAATGGTTGCAACAGTACATCGAGAAGGAACTGCCAAAAATTCAAGCTGGATTCAGAAGAGGACAGGGAGCAAGAGATACCACTGATGATGTCAGATTGATCTTGGCTGAAAGCAGAGAATACCAGAAAGATGTTTACTTGTGTCTTATTGACTATGTAAAAGCATTCAATGGTGTGGATCATAACTAATTATGGATAACTTTATGAAGAATGGGAATTCCAGGACACTTCATCGTGCTTGACCCGAACCTGTACATAGACTAAGAGGATGTTGTTTAAACAGAACAAGGGGATACTGCATAGTTTAAAATCAGGAAACGTTGCCTCAGGATTATATCCTTTCACCATACTTATTTAGTCTGTACGCTGAACAAATAATCCGAGAAGCTGGGCCCGATGAAGAAGAAAATGGCATCAGGATTGGAGGAAGACTCATGAACAACCTGCGATATGCAGATGACACAGGCTTGCTCACTGACAGTGAAGAGGACTGGAATCACTTAGAGATGATGATCAAAGAGCACAGCCTTCAGTAGGGATCACACCTCCACATAGAGAAAACACAAATCCTCACAACTGGACCAGCAATCCACATCCTGAAAAACAGAAAATATTGATGCTGTCAAGGATTTCATTTTACTTGGATGCACAATCAACACCCGTGGAAGCAGCAGTCAAGCCACGAAACGATGCATTGCACTGGGCAAATCTGCGGCAAAGAACCTCTTTAAAGTGTTAAAAAGCAAAGATGACACTCTGGCAACTAAGGTACACCTAACCTAAGCCATGATATTTTCAATTGCCTCAAAGCTGGACAATGAATAAGGAAGACTGAAGAAGAATGGATGTGTTTAAATTATGGTGTTGGCAAAGAATATTGAATATACCATGGACCGCCAGAAGAGTGAACAAATCTGTCATGGAAGAAGTACAGCCAGAGTGCTCCTGGGAAGCGAGGATGGTAAGACTTCATCTTACATACTTTGGACATGTTATCAGAAGGGACCAATCCCTGGAGAAGGACATCATGCTTGGTAGAGCAGAGGGTCAGTGAAAAAGAGGAAGACCCTCAACGAGAGGGAGTGACACAGTGGCGGCAACAATGGGCTCAAACGCAGCAATGATTGTGAGGATGGTACACGACTGGGCAGTGTTTCATTCTCTTGTGCATAAGGTCGGTCGTTATGAGTCGGAAATGACTCGACGGCACCTAACAACAATAACTTAGAGTTAATATCGCACCACTTCATGCATAATGGGAGCCCTGGTGGCACCGTGGTTAAGAGCTCAGCTACTAACCCAAAGGTCGGCAGTTAGAATCCACCAGCTGCTCCTTGGAAACCTTACGGGGCAGTTCTACTCTGCCCTACAGGGTCCATGTGAGTCAGAATCAACGGGATGGCAATGGGTTTGGGTTTGGGTTTCAGTTATGTAAAATGGAAGAACCTTGTAACTATATAGATTCCTTTACTGCCCCCCCATCCTAAACGCCATAGTTGTATGTATTACATCTACATACATTATAAACCCCTCACTACAGTGGCATAACTTTTGCTTGAAACAGTCATATAGTCTTTAGAAATCAGGAGTAAAGTTTGTCCTTTTCTATTTACCCAGATATTTCCCATTTCTGTCGCTCTTCATTCCTTCCTACAGATCCAGATTTTCATCTAGTATCATACTCCTTCAGCCTGAAGAACTCATTAGCTTTTCTTGTAGCGGAGGTTTGCTGGCAGAAAAGTCTCTTAGTTTTCCTTTCTCTGTAAATGTCTGCTTTTAAAATGTCTTTACGTTGCCTTCATTGGTGAAGGACGTTTTCGCTAGGTAAAGAACTCTGAGGTGACAGTTTTTCTTTCAGCCCTTTAGAGATGTCATCCCACTGTCTTCTGTCCTCCATTGCTTCTGAAGACAAGTAACAGTGTTTGCAGTGGTCTTCCCCTGTACATGTTCTTTTTCCTCTGACTGCTTTTCAAAGTTTTTTTTTTTTTTTTTTTTAAGTTTGGATTCATCAGTTTGACCGTGACTGTCCTAGGCGGAGGGGTGTGTGTGTGCAGTCATGTACGTGTGCTGTTTATTCTGCTTCTGGTTTGTTGAGCTTCTTAAGTCTGTAAACGTATGTTTTTCACCAAATTTGAGAAGTTTCTGGTGGTTATTTCTTCCAGTACTGTTTCTTGAGCAGCATCTTGACCCTTCAGACTTTCTCTCTTTGCATACCTGGGCTTCTGACCCCGCCCATGTCCTCATTTACCAAAACTGGGCTGCTTCCTAAGCCCTCCCACCCCTCCTTACCCACATCTTGGTGATATCCCGGCCCCGCCCACATGCTTACTCTTCACAAGTGTGCCTTGTCCTCACCCAGCCCACCTCCTCACCTCGCCCCTCCTTCCTTCTCAGTTCCTAAGGCTGGGCATTCTACACCCTCAAACCTCCTAATTACTCAATGCTAGCTCTTCTCCTCGCCCCGCCTACCTTCTCACCACCCATACTGAAACCTTCCCACCTCCTCACTTCCCAAGTTCAAGTTGAGTTGTCTCCTGACTCCGCCCACCTTCTCATTGGCCACACCTGGGCTTTCACCTGCCCCTCCCATTTCGTCCCCTCCCAGACATGGAATGCTCCTGACACCGCCCACCTCCTCACTTCCCACCCCTGTGCCTTCTCCTGACACTTTCCATCCCCTTTCTCTGCAGACCTTTGCTGTCTGTTGACCCCTCCACCTTCTCAACATCCCTGTGCTGCCTCCCGGCCCCTCGCACCTCCTCAACAGGCACATATGTTCTTCCACCGACCCCTCCCACCTACTCTTCCCTACACTGCTGCCTTCTACTGACTCACTTTCAGCCTTACTCCTGACACCTGGGTGGCTTTCTCATCGCCACACCTGTGCACTCACTGACCCCGCCCACCTCATCATTACCACACCTGTGCTTCCTTGTGGGCCCTCACTCCTCCTCACTTCTACCCCTTCCTCACCTGCCATTACTGGGCCGCCTCCTGACCCCTCCCACCTCATCATTACCACATCTGATGGTGGTGTCCTGGCCCCTCTCACTCTCTCACTTCCGGTACTAGGTCTGATCCCTTCCACCTCCTGAGTCACCACACCAGTGCTGCCTAGTGAGACTCCTTGTTCCCACATCTGGGACTTCTCCAGGCCTCTCCCAACTCCTCAGCCCCCATGGCTCGTCTGCCTCTTGATCCCTCCCAACTCTCTGTAGGCAGGCACTCACACAAACACCTGTCCACCAATTCTCACGGCAGCACTACTCCCTCCCATCAGTCAAAAGAAGGCGGATACAACCCAGCGTCTATCAACAAAGTGTGGTCCCTCTACACAACGAGATACCATGGAGCCTTAAATTAGAAACTGACAAGTGCTGCAGTGGGGATGACCCTCCAACCTGTGACGCTAAGTGAAAGAAGCAGGTACAAAAGGCCACATACTTCCATGTAGATAAGAACTCCAGAGCAGGTAAACCCATACACACAGAAAACCAATCACTGGTTGCCATGTGTTAGGGTGAGGGGCCATGGGGAGGACTGCTTAATGGGAACGGGGTTTCTGTTTTGGGCGATGACAGTGTTCTGAAGTAGATGGATACTGGTGGTGATTGAATAGGATTGTGAAAGTACATTTGTTGTTGTTGGTAAGTGCCAACCAGTTGGTTCTGACTCATAGCGACCCTATAGGACACAGTAGAACTGCCCCATAGGTTTTCTAAGGAGTGGCTGGTGGATTTGAACTACTAACCTTTTGGTTAGCAGCCGAGTTCTTAAGCACAACACCACCAGGCATACATAAAGCCACTATATTTACACACATTTAAACTGTTAAAAGAAAACTTTATTAAATGTGAAATCTACCAGTTAAACTAGTATAGAGAGCTGAAAAAATACTACAGATCAACCACAGCAATAACGACTCAAGGCAGGGTCAAAAGGGTCCAGTTCTGGAGCCGATGCTCCCTTGTTGTGGATGGGGAGCTGCTGAGAGAGAGGTGGGGCAACTGGCTCAGCCTCTAATGCCCAGGCCACAGCAGAGATGGAGCGCCTGGGGCTCCATCAAGCTCCGGTTCCTTGAAGAAGAGGATCAACATCAGCCGGTGGTCCATGAGCTGATTCTGAAGATGACCTGGGATAAGAATCCAGCTTTCCAGCAAGCTCAAGGTCTGGTGCCTGGGCCAGAGCCGAAGATGGAAGACCTGCAGCTACATGGAGTGCTGCTGTTGGTACAGGAGCAGATCGGCCTCACAAGGTGGTCGGGAATCCCCTTCTGGAGGTGGATAAGAATCCAGCTTTCCAGCAGACTCCCAGATCCTCCTCCTGCACCAACAACAGGGCTCAATGTAGCTCCAGGTCCTCTATCTCCATCTCTGGCCCAGGCACCAGACGAATGGAGATGGAGGACCTGGGGCTACACTGATCTCTGGTGTTGGCTGCAGGGGCAGGATGGATGTCAGCCAGTGGTCCTGGAGTCGCTCTGGAGGTGGCCTAGGATAGGAATCCATCCCTCTTGTCAGCTCTCCTTCTGGTGCCGGTGATGGAAGGCCTGGTGGTCAATCCTGCTCCGACGCTGGTTCAGGAGCAGGATCTACCTCACCAGGTGGTACAGGAGTGGGTTCCGGACACGGCCCAGCATAGGAATCTGGCTCCCCAGCAGGCTCTTCATCTGGTGCCTGTACCAGAGCTGGGGATGGAGGAACAGCGGCTACACTGAGCCCAGGGCTGGTGCACAAGCCTGATGGACGATTTTAACTCAGTGATCCCATTTGGGCAATGTCTCCTGGCTCTTACAATGCTCTGTTATCTCCTCTCCCTCCTCCCTGGGAAGCAGCTGTGATATATGACCTGCCTTATGAGGCCCACGTGACAATGACCCAAGGACTCTAATAAACAGAGAAGAACGAAGGCCCCCAATCCAACAGCTCACAAGACGAAATCCTGTCCATAACTTGGAGTGAGCAGGGAGTGGAATCCTCCCTAAGGGAGCCTCAGTTGAGGTCACAGCTCCAGCCTCGTGAGAGAACTTGGGGCAGAGTCACCAGCTGAGCCGTGCCCACATTCCTGGTCCACAGAGACTGAGACCATCGGTTTGTTTTCGTGAGCTGCTAAGTTTTGGGGTGATTTTGCCAAGAGCAGGAGATAGCTCCTCCAGTCCACCAGGTCCTAGGATGTGGACCTGCCCTCCTCCCCTCCCCAGCTCGCTCCAGCCACACTGGCCACTTTTTAACTGTCCCCCTCTGGACAAACTTGTCTGCCTCCGAATCTCTGCAGCAGCTGTGCGCTCTCCCTTGTAGGCCCTCACTCCTCCTCACTTCTACACCTTCCTCACCTGCCATTACTGGGCCGCCTCCTGACTCGTGCAGAGCTGGCCCGTCTTCTCATTCTGTCCACACAGAAATGTCACCTCAGTGAGGCCTCTGGACCCCCACCCAGTGGCCCCAGGCCTCTCTCACTGCGCCCCGCTGTATTTTCTCTATGGAACATGCTCTTTTCTTTCCCATGTCTTCATGCTTTTGTGCCTCTCCCCCAGACTGTGAGCACCTGGGGCAGCTCCCACCCAGGACCTAACCCAGACCTGACCCGGGGCGAGAACTTGCGGCACCACTGAATTAATAAAACAAGAGGATGTGATTCCCACCCCTCCTCTGACCAGCTCAGATGGGCACGGATGGTAATCTCAGGAGGTGCAACTTTGAGGCAGGGGGCCAGCCAGAATGACCTTGGGGTGACTGTCCCCTGGTCCAGCTGCTGCAGCAAAGCCCAGACGGCATGACTGACAGGAGAGGCAACCACCCCAGGGGGTGAAGGAGCAGGACCTGCAGGTCCATGGGTGCTGTGGGGGACCTCAGGAGACTCCCGTGCCCTACCTTTGCCTCCATTGGTCGTGTGGTGTCCAGCTCACTCAGGAGGCATCTTCCCCACATTCAGGCAAATACTCAGGCCCCACTTCCTCAGGAGGACCCAAGCCTCCATCAAGGCCTAGTCCTGACCCTGGACCTGGCCTCACGGTCCAGTGCTCTGTCACGCAGTGTCCTACCCCAACCCCCCAGGCTCCAAGCTTATTGAGCGTGAAGTACCTCCAGGGAGCAGAAAGCATTCTCCAAGAAGCTTAGAGCACAGTGGGCCATTGATGAGAACCAAGGCCAGCACACTTCTCTGTGCCTTGGAACCCTCTGGGTTCATCTACTCTCCTCAATTCACAGAAAAGGAAACTGAGGCCTTCTCTGCTGCAGTCCCCTCCACTCTGGGTTTCCAGGGGCTCAGAGCGGTAACTGCAGGACTCAGGCCCTTTCCTCTGGAGGTTGCCCTGGAGATGGCCCTGGTCGCCTTGCCCAGCACCATGGCCTCTCCCATCTACGTTATGGGCCATGGAGCACGTTGCTAGGAGACCTTGGCAGCGCAGAGACCAGCAGAACTAGTGCAAGGAGCATGGGGGCAGGGATGCCTCTTCTCTTTGAAAAGGTGGAGCCACTGCCCCCCAGGCTGTAGAGAAGGGGCTACTACCGAGGTTTCAAAGATTGGGGTTGCTGTCTCCTTGGCTCCTAACCTCGGGCTGCTGTTCAGATAGGCCAGGAGAATGTGGCTGCTGAGGGAGTGGGCCCACCCAGCAGGCCTGGAAAGGAGGGCTGATAAACGCCACCCCAACTGAAGCAAATCCATGCAGACCACACACTGCAGAACCCAATGCTCAGAGTCAAATGACTCCAAATGACAGTTTTACTTCTGTCCCAGCCCCGAGTGAGCTTCTTAGTGGCTCATCCTGCAATATCACATCACAAAACATCCCCTCAACCATCAGCCAGGAGAGCAGAGCAATTTAAGGAGACTTTAAGAATAAAAGCTAAACTGGTATTTAAGAAACTTCCTGGCATACAAAGGAGTCATCTCATGGTAGAAGCTACGACCTTCCTGATCTGCTAGGGAAGGAATGCTGAGTGCGGGGACCAGAGTGTTGTACACTGAGCAGCCCGACGGCCAGCCATCCAGGGAGCAGGCTTCAAATCCCAAATCTGGCTCAGCGCCACCAATTTGCTCAAGCCACTGAGTCTGTCTGCAGAGAAAATGCAGCCCTGGGTCTGAAGTGGAGCCTGGATGGACACATTCTGTGAACACAGGGGAGCATCAGTACCAGTAACAGGGTCTCAAATGGCTAGAAGGCTGGGAATGCTACAGGACCCGTGGGTGGGAAGGGGGCTCCCAGCTTAGGAACTGGCCTGGCTGCTGTCTGTATCTGGGAGGTGGAGAGCAGTGGCATCACGGGACTGCACCCCAGTCCGTGTTCCTGGGGAGGGAGGGTCCACAGGGCCTCGGCTCTCGGCTGCCTGGAGGCCCTGCAGTCGATACAGGGCCTCGACCTGCCTCCTCTTCTCCTTGGCTCGGCTGATGGTCGTCTGGAAGAGCCTGCAGAAGAGGTGGATGGACGACGGCGAGTCGTCATTGCCGGGGACGGGGTAGGTGACGAGGCAGGGGTTGCAGTTGGTGTCCACGACGCCCACAGTGGGGATGTTCATCTTGGCTGCATCTCTCACGGCCACGTGGGGCTCAAAGACGTTGTTGAGCGTGTGGAGGAAGACGATGAGGTCCGGCAGGCGGACACTGGGGCCAAAGAGCAAGGGAGCATTGGTGAGCAGGCCGCCCTTGAAGTAGCGGGTGTGGGCGTACTCGCCACAGCTGCGGGCCGTGTTCTCAATCAGGTGTGTGAACTGCCGGTTCCGGCTCACAAACAAGATGATCCCTTTGCGATAGGCCATGTGGGCTGTGAAATTCAAGGCCAGCTGGAGGTGTGTGGCTGTCTGCTCCAGGTCGATGATGTCCTGGCCCAGGCGGTTCCCAAAGATGTATGGCTCCATGAACCTGTCCGGGAGACCCAAGCAAGGGGAGGGTGAACAGGGCTCCCAAGGCCACAACTCCGCCAGCCCCCCCCTCGTCACAGACCTCCACAGCAGGCCTAAGGCTCCCTGTGGGGGGCACACCACCCCTACGGGCACAGACAGCAGGCACCACGCTGTCCAGTGAGTGACCACAGGGCAGGCGGGGGCTGGGCTTCAAGGGCTGAGGCCACTTTAGGAGCAGACAGTGGCTGAACCCTCCTGACCCTCTGCTGCCTTCCCAGAACGTGGGGATTCCGGCAGAGCCAGGCCGACACGACCGCCAGACGGTTAAACGTGGTGTCGGCAGGCCTCCCCCGGTGCCGCTCACACGGCGGCCGTCTGTCATTACTGCGCTCTCTAAAGCTTCACGAACGACCCCTCTCCGGAACTCAGGGACCAGCAGAGCAGGGGAGGGGCTGCAGGCTGAAAGCATGGAAGGGTCAGGGCAAGCACCAGCCACGTCAGTCAGGGTGGGGGACCCCACGGGCAAGAAGTGCTGACCGCCCTGGGCAGAGAACAGCGGGCCGCTGAGAGACTGCCCCACTTCTCGGCACGTAACAAGTGCGCTGTCTACACCAGCGGTCCCCACGTCCTCCCTCCAGTCCACTGTCCAGCTCGCTCCTGCCTGGATGCTGTCCCTTCTCAACGGACACTGCTCACCAAGCACCTCAACACTCCCTCCTTACCAGATCCCTGGTCCTTCCCCGCCTGCAGGACTTCTCACTAGCATTAAGTGGTCCCCACATCCTCCCCTCTCTCCCTCCCGGTTCTCATCCCTCCTCACTCCCTGGCAGCGCCTTCTCAGCCTCACCTGCTGCCCCTCCTTCTTCTCCCAGCCCCTAAACATTGGAGGCTCCAGGGCTCAATCCTGGGACCTCCTGTCTGCTCTGCCCTCCCTCTGCAGATGGCCTCCAATGCTCCGCCTCTACGCAGGGGACTGCACTCCCATGTCTTCCCCAGGCTGGGGTGTGTCCCTCCAGGGACCTGCTTGCCACCTCCACTGGGATGGCCCAAGGGCTCAACCTCAGGAGGAAGCCTGTGACTTCCCACGAGGTCTTCCTCAGTTCTTGGTCTCCCAGCTGCCCCTCCACTCCACCGAGCACGCAGTAGTCAGAACGGCAGCATACACACCTCTGAGGGCTATCACTCCTCCACGTGACCCAGCAGGTTCCCACTGCTCCTCCCACAGCCTACCAAGCCCCACCGGATCCAACCTCACCAGCCCCTCCAAGGCCCTGGCCTCCTGGCCCTTCTGTCTCTGAACCTGCCCAGCCTTTTGTTTGCATGCAGCTCTGTCCCCGGTTCAGGCAGGGAGCCACACACCAAGGCCCTGAGTGGACAGGGTAAGTGTTAGCAAAGCTGTATGATAAGTCAGTGCCCCACCTGAGGCCCGGTTCCCATCTGGAGGACGGGCCTGGACCTAACGGTGGTGAGCACAGAGCAGATATTGAAGCCTTCTCTCAGATAAACAAAAACAACTCCTGACAGCACAAAACATGCCCTAGACCCCCAGGCGGGAGGGGCCGAGGCTTGCTGGGACCAACTGCCGGTATGCACACCTGAGCCCACTCAGCCAGGGTTTCACCCTACCTGTGGCGGCAGCCTGCTTTGTGTCCCAGGTGCACTCGGGCATCGAAGAGGCTTTTGACAGAAAATAATTCCTTGACGTTGAAAAAGTCGGGCTGCTTGAGGGGCTCCTTTATAATTCTGTCACTGAAATCTATGGCAGGGCGAAGAGAGAAAAGGAGAGGACACCGGGCTCCCACACTCTAACACAGGTTGCAGAGTGCAGGGCTGGCCCACGTGGTCCACCTCCCTGCAAACGGAGGAGACATGGCTGGTTGGGCGCGAGAAGCCCATCAGTTGAAAGCACCCAAAACCAGGAGCTCTGGAAGCTGCAGATTATCCCCCCCAATGAGCTCAGGCTCTCTGCTGCAGACAGAGCTCCAAGGCCTCAGAATTTCAGAATACTAGGGACTGGAGCTGGGTTCTGATCGGGACTCCCCTCCTGGGTAACTCTGTCGCTGCCCATCTCCCAGTGTCCTCACTTGAAAAAGAAGATCACAGCTGTTTTCTAAGGTCCCTCTAGCACCTTCATGCCATCCAGGCTGGCCCGCAGGCTCAGGCGCCTGGCCAGAAGCCCCGGTTGGGGCTGGCGCCCATCAAGAGTCCAACAAAGTGCACTCACTCCCTCAGGAGCATGATGCTCACCGGACCTGGCAGGGGAGGGGAACCGGGGGAGGCTCGGGGGTCCTGACTCTCAGCTCTGTGTCTCAGTGGTTGTTGGTGGTGGGTAAAGCCACGTCGATTCTGACTCACAGTGACCCAACGTGATAAAACCCAACTGCTCCCTAGGGTTTCCTCGGTTGTAATCTTTCGGGCACAGATTGCCAGGTCTTTCTCCAGCGGAGCTGCTGAGTACGTTCCAACTGTCAATCTTTCACTTAACCGCTTGGACCAGCAGGGCTCTCTCCATTCCGGAAAGGAGGTGCTATGGGAGCTCTATTCACAGGTGACCGGAGCTGAGCTGCAGGGAGCTAAGGAAGGAGCCCTAGCCAACAGCTCAGGAGTGGGTGCAGCCAGAGTTGGGACCCAAGACTTAAGTGACCCTAAGGCCCTGCTTTAACTGTGTGTAGCTTGTCGGGGGGGGGCTGCCGGGGCTCGCTTGGGGCAGCTGGGACTAAACAGCCTGTCAGAGCTGGCATGGTGAATGCTGAAGCACTGACCAGGCAGAGGGCCTTCTCCCCACCCCCTCTTGGCTCAGACACCTCCAGGGCTTTACACCTAAACCCAGAGACACACGCGCCTCCTGGCGGCAGATATAAGGCCTGACTGACTTCCCATTGCACGCCCCCCTCATCTGCTGAGGAGCCCGGTGTTACCGCTGCAGTCCTCGGGCTCGCTGACAGCAGGGGCCGGGGCGCTTCCAAACGTCCTGCTGCTCAGCCTAGACCCTTCAGGGGTCGGCTTCCTGAGGAAATCCAGCCACAGCGACTTGGGCCAGGCACCTGGGGAAGGAAGCAGACTCCAGGCGCTGAGAAGGGCGGCCGAGGGCACCTCACGCCGCGCTCCGCTCCAACTGCGGGCTGGCCGCAGTCTGTCAGTCCTTGCACAAGCGGTGGAGGGCAGCCCGCCCCCCGGACCGGCAGTCCTGACGCACGCGGACCGCCCTGCAGGCCCTGGGTTTTGGTCCGCTGTGGGCGCAGCCCCTCCGAGCCCCAGCGGAGCGCTGAACCCAGGGCCACGGCAGGTGAGACCCGCGCGGGGCGGGGCTGTGTGGTCGTGGGGTATCTCCGCGCCAGCCCGGGGCCGCCAAGGCCGAAACACCGCCAGCCAGGCCTAAGGAGGTCGGCCCCTGCCGCGCCCCCAAGACCCGCGCTCCCACCCAGAACCCTGCGCCCCGCCCCACACACCTCCCCCCGGGTCCCGTGGAGCAGAGGGCCCTGCATGCTCACCCGCGCCGAGCAGCCGGGGAAGCACGACCCGGGCGGGCGCCATGGCGCGGACAGACGGAGCGCCAGACTGGCGGACCGAACTTCCGCCACGTGGTCCCGGACTTCCGGCGAGCGGCTTCCTCTTTCCGCCGCGGCCACGGGGGTCGCACTGCCCCCTGCAGGCCGGGAGGTGCCACTGTGCGCCCGCGCCCGGGCCCAGGGCTCTAAAGACTTCTCCAGCCGTGGCTCCAGGCTTCCAGCACCCGCCGCAGTACCAGGCCTCAGAGCATCGTTGCGGCCCGGAGGGAGGGCGCGCCAGGGCCGGGAGGCACAGGTCGGGGAGCGGGAACCGCGGGGCGGAGCGGTGGGAGGGGCACAGATTGGGGGGCGGGGAGCGCGGGGCAAGGTCCGGGTCTGG